AGAATTCAAAAAATTAAATCCTCCAATAATGTATTGTCAAAGAAACAACAGCCTGATTAATAAGTGGGCTAAAGACTGAAAGAGAGATTTCTCTGAAGAGTAAATAAGAAAGGCCAGTAGACACATGAAGAAATGCTCACCCTCTCTAGCCATAAAAGAAATGCAAATCAAAGCAACATTGAGAATTCCCCCTTACACCAGTTAGAATGTCTATAATCAAGAAATCTAATAACAGATGCTGGAAGGGATGTGGACTGAAGGGAACCTTACTGCATTGTTGGTAGGAATGTAAATTTGTTCAACCACTTTGGAAAGCACTGTGGAGGTTCCTCAAAATACTCCACATAGAGCTCCCCTATGACCCAGGAATCCCACTTTTAGGCATTTATCCAAATGATCGCAAACAAGGCCATACTAAAGCTACCAGAACAACGATGTTTATTGCAGAATTATTCACCATAGTTAAGCTATGGAACCAACCCACATGCCTCTCAATAGATGAATGGATCAAGAAATAGGAATTCTATGCCTCCATCAAAAAAATGGCATCACCACATTTGTTAGGAAATGGAAAACCTGAAAAAATTATATTAAGTGTTGTAAGTCGGATCCAAAGAATCATAGGTTATATGGTTTCCCTTATCTGCAATAACTAGTATATGCCTAAGAAAAGCAGAAGAGGTCAAAAGCTCTGTATGTATGACCATATAAGCTGATGTCAAGTGAAATGAACCCCAAGATAGGGACACAATTTTTTTTATATTTCTTGCTGTTCTTTTTAATGTACTTATAATGTACTATGTAATCTTTTTTTGTTTATTTCTTTGTATGTTCTTCCCCCACAGTATTTGATTCTGGTGTTCTGCAAAATGATTTTTTTAATTTTAATTATACCTTTATTGTCTTTAAGTAGTTGTACAAAGTGGTAACCATTCAACCAATCAGTTTGTGAGTACAAGTACAGTTTATAAGTATGACACCCTTTCATCATTCTCCCCCATCCCTCCTAGGTCTCCCCTCAATACTCTTCTCTGAAACCTCACTCCATGTGTGAGTGACAGAGACACAAGACAAGCCTTGAGCAAAGGGAAGTGAGTGCACATTGTGGCTGCACATTGAATGCACTCTCAATCTACACACCAGGGTGTATGGAAGAAGCAGGATGGACTTGCAGTGCAGGAAACCTGAACTTTCACTGGCATTTGTCATATTGTGTAGGTAAAGGTAAGCCATTAGAGATTCAAACAATAAATTGGAAATGAAAAGTTTAAAAAAGATCAATGACATCAGTAACCAACCACCAAATGCTAAATAGACTTCAAAGTAGCTATTTTATGGATTATAAATGCTATGAATGTTTAAACATCATTGAAGCTTCTGATCTTTGATCAAACACCTAAAAAGGAATATATGAAGAAAATAATGGAACAAATAAGGTCCCAATAGCAATATGAAAGAGACCAAATGGGAATCTGAGAATAGAAAACACAATGACCTCATGTTTGAGTTCTTAGCTAACTCATCCTGATCATCCAAAGAGACTTCTTAGACTTCCATCAGTGCAAACACCGTCTTCAAAAATGAGTTCTCACATACTTAGGAATCCCTCTCATTGCTGAACCTGGTTCCCCCAATGACATCTCAAATGCTAACCAATCCCTTTATCACCAAGAGATTTAAGGTGCCACAGCTCCCTCTGCGGGGAAAGCTGAAATACCTTCAGTTCTTGAGCTCTTACATTTCCTTACAGTACCATGAGCACTTGTAGATACAAACCTCTGATCTTACAGAGCACTCATTTTAATGCAAAGGCAAGACAATGAACAAATACTTCTCATGCTGTCCTGTTTCCTGAGACTCCAGTCACACCACCCCACCCGCTCCCCTTTCACCACTCTCTCTAGCAACACTATTACTCAAGGGAAGTGTGTAGTGGGCATCTTGGAACACATTTTGTCTCTTCACCTCTTAGCATGATTAGAATGAGAGGAAGAAGAAACAAGTTAAAATTGAACATCTGTGGTTCATTAAAAATATCCCGTGTGATTTCACTGAAGCCCATTTAACAAACTCATCCTCTGAATAAGGATATTAATTTTTCATTCCATCAGGTCCCTGTAACTGGAAATCAGCAAACACACAGATGAGTAACATGAACGAGACCCTGACTCTATTCAAAACAAACTTAGATCCTCTTGCAACAGAGCCTCTTAGACCATTTTTAATATCCCTGTTAATGAAGAGAACCAATCTTCATTTTAAGTGATTTGTTCACAGGCAAAGGGAGAGAAAGTATGTTTGATCAGTTATATCGCTCTGATTCATAATGATACTTCCTTCAAAATGTAACTTACTCTCCTTCTTTAATCAACAACTCATGGCCTTGGTCATAGATGAAAAAATGGACATATAGGTTTGCTTTTCCAATGCATGTGTTATGCACTTCAGAGCTCTTACTACAAACAGCTATTATTGTCTGTAGGCAGTTTGCTTTTAAGGATGTTTAATTTAATCACATTGAAGGACAGCTGATTGGCCTGTATGAGAAGTCATTCCCTGGGCAGTGATTGTCTCCAGTATTTGCCCAAGTTGATCTTACCTGTCTTGACCTCATGGAGAGAAACAGATCCTAGTGGTAGATAGAAGGCTGTGCATGGCAAGGAGTATACACAGTGCTACAATTTGTTAACAAGGAAAAACTTTCTCCTAATTACAGAAGTAGGACACAGGAGGACAGAGGAGAGAGGTAGGAAAAATCATATCTTGCTATAACAAATGAACCCCTGGATTAAGTTTTGTTTGAGCTTCCTCCTTGAATTACCTTTTGTTTCTCCATTCTTCTATAAACTGAAATCTCTCCCTATTGTCAGTGAAATACTGCCAAATGATGAGCAAGTTCTAATGGAAGAATATATGTTATTTTGCATCCTATTGTGTAGGAAAAAAAACACGATATAATCATGGTCTTATCATTCTTAGTGACTGCACAGCAGCCATGTTTCTGAATGTCTCTCAAACTAGATTCATGGAATTTTCCTCCAGGTAATATTCAGCAGTACATATATGTGAGCAAAGTCCAGAAGTGCTACTGTGTTCTTTTTATGGTGACTTTTAACAGACCCACAGTTTGAATCATCATTACTGGTGATCTTCATTTCAATTCTAGACTAGGTGATGGCTGCCAGATTTCTCTGCTGTATAACAATTTTTCCCTTTTGCAGTTTATGAAAATGTGTGGAGAAGTTTTTGGTCATTTTAGAATATCCCATTTCTTATGAAAATAACATAGGGAATCCAAAGGTTTACAGTTGATTTAATGGTGCATATTACTGTTTATATGGTACTCAAAATCCCTTGAAATTGGCCAGTGGGCATCCCTTGCTAGCTGATTCTCTCCACTTTTTCCTTTACCTCGCATACCAGGAATTTTTTGTTTTGTTTTTGGTACAAAATGGTCCAAAATTATCCTACACTTTCTTAGTTTTGATTAAAAAAATCAATTATTTCCACAAGGGTCGGTTCTTTCATTTATTGGAGAAAGTTTACAGGTACATTAGTGATGGTGCTATCTATTCATGGAACTAGAGCACCATTACATCCTGGCTGTGAAAAATTATCCATCCACTCATTCATTCATCTAGTCTTATACATATATACATATACGTGTGGATTTATGGTGATTTCTCCACCTGCATGCACAGCAATAGGTTATTCTGAAATACATTCTTAGACGAAGTTCTCCTGTAGTTAGTTTACAATTCTTTCCCTCAAGAGTAGTACTGTCAGCTCCATTGATCCCTCATGAATTTAGCCACATGATCAACTGTTTTGGATGATGAGAAACAACAGCTGTCACTGTCACTTACATGATCATAGCATACAAACCCCCTCACATATTTGCTCATATATTACTCAGACTGGCATAACACTGCTGAGATGAGTCAACTTTGCATCCCATGCAGTAGTGACTTGTGGGCCCTGACAACTGCACAGGCCCATATGGATGTCCTCGTGTCTCATTCCACCTCAGCACCTACAATGCAGCCAGCCATGCTCTGTCTCCCTGGCGTAGACAATCAACTCTCCTCACTCTTGCTTCTAAGCTCCATGTTGCCTCCTCTCAATATGAATGACATTTCCATGTACTGCTGGCACCTGGATTCGGTTCAAAAATTCCAACATGATCTTCCTTTCCATGGTTCTACTCGCTCTACTTGGGCCCAATATCTTTAACCCAGCTGTTAAACACAGTGTTCTCTTCTCAAATAGAAGAGACCACCAAATGAAAGGAACATATGTAGGTTTAGGTAACTCAGTAGGCTTCGGCATAACCCAAGTTTATTCTTCTTTTCAAGGAGAATCTCTGATTCAAACACAGTAGCTTTGGTTAAGATGTTTAAAACCCAGAAGGAATATTAAGACCTCAATAATGGACATTATAAATTATACACACCCCTAGGATGGTGGAAAAGATTGGTCAGTTTGAAGAGAAGAAATTGTCTTGATTTTATGTAAGGGACTCAGAGATATAAGAGAAAACATGGCTGTGCTGCACAATTCACAATTTTAACTACTTTCTAATCAATGTAATAGCTTCACATTCTTATTTCATATCCAAGGATCACATTACAGGACAGCAGTGCTGACAAATTGCCACATAAAGATGATCAGTGAATCAGAGCAATTCCCAAAGTTCCTGCTCTGGATAATAAAGGCATGTGCCAAATGAGTGTTGTGCAAATGTCTGTAAATTTCTGGAACTAACCTTTAAATGGACAGGTTTTGTCTCAGATAAAGAAATAAAAAGAAAAGAGACTTTTATCCTCAATGAGATCAGTGGTACTCCACCCACAGGAAAGAAATGTGCTGATTCTCTTCTGTGGCTATAACACAGTCTGTTGCCTGACCTAAGTCTCCTGAGACTCAAATTTGTGTAGACCTACTGAGATGAGACAGACGTACAGTTGTGTTTAACCTTGTCCAGAAGCTGATGATTTGCATGTGCCAGCAGCACAGCCCACTGCCCTCAGGACTTCTTCATAGGCTGCTCATAGTCGGTGTAGCAGTCTGTCCCAGTCAGCACACAGCATGGACGTGAGGATCCCTGCTCAGCTCCTGGGGCTCCTGCTGCTCTGGCTCCCAGGTAAGGATAAAGAATATTGGGCATTAAAATTCCTCAGCGTGATGGATGATGCTTTACTCTTCAGGAGAGCCTTCTTATAATTTGGTTAATAATGTGGATATTTGTTTCATGTTTCCCCTGACAGATGCGAGGTGTGGCATCCAGATGACCCAGTCCCCATCCACCTTGTCTGCATCTGTATGAGGCACAGCCACCATCACTTGCAGAGCCAGTGGAAACATTTATAGGAATTTAGCCTGGTACCAACAGAAACTAGGGAAAGCCTCTAAACTCCTGATCTATAGTAGGATTACTTTGGCATCTGGTGTTCCATCCAGGTTCAGTGGCAGTGGATCTGGAACAGAGTTCACTCTCACCATCAGCAGCCTGCAGCCTGAAGATGTTGCCAGTTATTACTGTCAACACTCTCCTCCCACAGTGATATAAGCCATGACAAAAACCTCCCAGGGAAGCAGTAGTGAGAGTCTGGGGTGCCCCAGCTGCTCCTCCTGGTGCCTCCACCTACTGACAGAGCTGCTCATATATAGACAATATAGACTTGAAGAGTGTGAATTGTGTCAACAGTTGAGATTCATAAAACCATAACACAAGTAATAGATATTCTAAGTAGTAATGGTTTTCTGTTATTGTTCTTGTCAGTCTTGGGGCTTGAGTTCTTTTGCTCAAGGTTAGCACTCCAACATACTTAGCCACAGTTCCATTTCTGGTGTTCTGGTGGTTAATTGGAGCTAAGAGCCTCACAAACTTTCCTGCCCAGGCCAGCTTTGAACTAGGATCATGAGATGTCAGCTTCCAGAATAGCTAGTATTATATGTATGAGCTACCATCAGGAATTGTTTATAATACAAAGAACAGATTCATTGCTTCAGATTTTAGTTGATACTTTCTGATATCTATTGTATTAACATATTTTAGCAGTATCTATTTATAAGATTCTAGGATTTTCCATATACATCTATTATGTACATTGATCATGTCCTTCTACTTTTCCCCTGTGCTCACCCTCCTGCCTCCTGAACTGGAGCCCTTTTCATATCCACATAATTACTTTATTTTAATTTTGTTTGAATGAGAAAGACCATACATAATGGCCTTTTGTTTTTCCTGTTTTATCAGAATGTCCTGCAGGTCCATTCTTTTTGCTGGGGATTACAGAATTTCATGTGTCTTTATATATGTTCTGTATATATACATATATATGTATATATATACATATACACAGACATACATACATATATGGATCAATTCATCACTACTTTCTAATTGATTCTAGCACAATTGATCAATTTCAAATATTCTCTAGTGATAACAGTATCAAAATAAATCTATATATATGCAGAAATCCCTTTATAAATATCACTTTTGTATGTTGGCATTATTTCCTTCAGATGTTTTCCCAGGAGTGAGGTAGCCAAATCATCTGGTATATCTCTTTTTAGGTATTTTAGTAACTTCCTTATTGTCCTCAATACTGGCTATGCTAACTTGCATTCCTACAACTGATTTTGCCTAGTGTTGAAAGGGAGTTTAAAGGGAGATGGGAGTGATATCGTGTCTCCCAATCTGCTCAACCTTCTCTGTTGGATCACATCATTACACATTTTTCTATTCTGTTCTAATTTATCCACAGGCAACAAAGTAACAGTGTTAAATCATGTAGTTAATCACCTACAGATCAGGACTTAAAGCAAGATCTGGGGAACCTAGATTGTGGAGATTTAGTAAGGAAAAACATGGGTCCCATATATAATCTGACAGTAGTCATGTTTTTTTATACATTTTTAATTGTAAAAATACTGTTCAGAGGAGTTACAGTTACATGAGTAAGGTAATGAGTTCATTTCCTATTGAGCATTGATGCCTCCTCCTTTATTTTTCCCCTCCATCCCTTCCTTCTCCAAATACAACTAATCCCCCCACTCCTTCCCATCCCTCAACTCACCTTTTGGCATTTGGGAAAATGCCCAAAAGTGGGATTGCTGGTCATAGGGGAGCTCAATGTGGAGTCTTTTGAGGAACCTCTAAATTGCTTTCCAAAGTAGTTGAACAAGTTTATAATCCCACCAACAATGTAGTAGGGTTCACTTTTGGCCACATCCCCTCCAGCACCTGTTATTAGATTTCTTGATTCTAGCCATTCTAACTAGGGGGAGGTGGAATCTCAAAGCTCCTTTGATTTGCATTTCATCGCTAGAGAAATTGAACATTTCTTCATGTGTCTATTGGCCATTCTTATTTCTTCAGAGGCGCTAGGTCTTTAGCCTACTTGTTAATCAGGAGGTTGAGGATTTATTGTTGGAGGATTTAATTTTTTGAGCTCTAAGTATATTTTAGATAGGAGGCCCTTGTCCATTGTATGGTTAGTGAAGATATTCTCCCAATGGATGGGTTTTCTTTTGATCTTGCTAGCTATGTCCTTTGCCATGCAGAAGCTCTGCAGTTTCATGCAATAAAATTTGTCCAACCTTTCTTAGATTTGTTGTGTTTGTGGGTCTTTACTAAGAAAATTTTGGCCTGTGCCAAGGATACCTAGAGTTCTCCTATGCTTGTAATGTTTTCAGGGTGTCTGCTTTGACTTCATACACCAGAATCACCTTCAAAATGGATCAAAGACTTCAGTGGTATATAAAGATGTAGCCTTAAGTTTCCTACAGGCATTTAACCAATTTTGCCAGTACCATTTACTGAAGAGGCCCTCTTTCTTCCATTCTATTTTTGAAGACTAAGTGGCTATAGGTTTGTGGGTTCATTTCTGGGTCTTCAGTTCTATTCATTGGTCCTCAGGTCTGTTCTTTTACCAATATCTAGCTGTTTTGATTACTATGGCTTTGTAGTAGTTTGAAATTTGTTATTGATATTTCTCTATTCTTTCTGTTAAGGATTGTTTTTGATATTTGGGGTCTTTTCTTGTTGCAAATGAATTTTGGGTTTGCTTCTTCTATTTCATTGAAGAATGAGGTTGGGATATTGATAGGTATTGCATTGAATTTGTAGATAGCCTTTGGCAGTATTGCCATCTACAAAGTCTTCTACTTCTGTCCTACCTACTCAGTATGAGATTTTTATTTCCCAATTCTGATACCTGCCCTGTCTCAGAAGAAGAGATATTCAACCTGTGGATCCAAATCACAGTTGCTTTTGTATGTCAAGTTTTGGAGCCAGTTTTAAGAAATACACTGAAGATAGTTTGTACTTATGCTTACCATAATTTCCATCAACTGAAGGAAATGCCAAAGGAGATAAAGCACAAGAACAAAAGAAACTATGACTACTCAGAACTTGTACCTTACAGAAACACTTTCACAAATACACTAGCTTATAAAGTGGCACAGAGTTCATCTGTATTCTCAGAACTTTTAAGAAATGCTACTTAAAAGGAATGCAAATAGCCTCCCAAGGTCTGTAGTAAGGAAAATTTCAGAAAATTAATTAACATTTTCTTAATGTTGTAAATACAAAGCAAACAAATTTATAATGCATGTATCTGCTAGCATAAATCAGTGTAAGAATATAAAGAATGTAAAACAAGGGTTAAACCAAGAGTTGATTTTAGAAAAAAGGAAATCTGTGTTTTCATTTTAAAAAATGTCTTTCTAAAGTTAGATCTTTGTATAGAGCCCTGAAACCAGAATCAACTCCAAATGGATCAAAGACTTTTAGGTAAAAGTAGATATCTGGAAAATATTACAGGGAGGAACAGGGCAAACACAAGGGCTCCTTGACATGGGTCAAAACTTCCTTAATAAAGGCCTGGAATCACAACAAATCAAAGAAAGATTGAATAAATTGGACTGCATTAAACTGCAGAGGTTCTGCATGGCAAAAGACATAGTTAGCAAGATAAATAGAAAGCCCACAGACTGGAAGAAGTTCTTCACTAGGCATATTCTAAGGTGAAGCATCCTAAAAGCCACATTTAGGTAGATGGAATATTGGAGTCTTTATTACACAGTTAGCAGGCCACTGGCCATCCATTTTCACAAAGGCCTGAAGCCCTCAAATACACAAAACATGATTAGGAAACAGGCCAGAGAGGAAAGAAAGAACAAAAACAAAACCAACAAACCAATTCAACTCCAATGGAGAGCTGAATTATGATGCCATGATGACTGGAGATGAGTCAGAAGACAAGACATGATCACAGAGACACATGTGGCATGGCATAATGGCAGCTGGGCTGGGCTGGGCCTAAATAGGGTCTCAGCAGGAGACAGGTCCACAGGTTATTAATCTACCAGTCCAGTGCCTGGGACTGGTAATTTCTATCAGCCAAGTGCTTGCCCCTGCCTCCAGGGATCTGGGCATATCCATCACCTGGGAGTCAGATGATGGGTGGAGGCATTTTCCTTCCCCCCAGCATGAAGACAAGATACCGGACCCTATCACCTACCATGTGGCCAATATGGCACCAGTCAGATCTGACCTCCTTACTTCATTCCCCACTTTTACTCTTATGTACATGAAATCATTGATTTTTTTTCTGTAAGAGATCTGAATTTTTCCCTGGGCTGTTCCCTTCTGTAATTATTTAATATTAATATATATAACTAATTTTTAATATTAATATATATACAAGTTTTATTGTGAAAATACCATACAGAGGGGCTACAATTACATGAGCAAGGTAATGAGTACATTTCTTATCAAGCATTATTGCCTCCTCCTTTGTTTTTCCCCTACCATCCCTTCCCTCCCATCTCCACAACTACACCCCCACCCCAGCGCCAAAGTTGTAAAGTTTGTTTTTCAACATAGGATTTTGCACATCTCCTTGTTAAAATGGGTCCACCTATATCCCTAAACAGTTTGGGTTTTTTTTCCCTTCCCCTCCCCAAAGTATACCAACAGCAAATACAGTGAAAACAGGGGTTTTACTGTGGGAGAAGAGACATAAAATGCAACAAAACTATCACCTTATAAATATGTTAGAAACAATAGCAAGAAAGAAAAAAACCACTTGTGTCCTTATCTAGTGAAGTAAGCTGGGCCCAAAGAAACAT